AGGCGGCAGGGTCAGTGGAGAAGGAGCCGCGGGACCCTACGGCGCCCCGCTGTGGCCAGTGGGGTCCTGGGCGGGAGGCATGGGAAGGGTGCGGATTGGGAGACACGTGCCCAGGGAGGAGGCTGGGACTGTGGGATATGGGCGAAGGAGGCTGGGCTGGCTGTTAATTTTGCAGGCCTGAGTGGTGCAAGGCGGCCGCTGTTGCGGTCACAGGCGTGACCTAGGGCAGGGTGGTGCTGCCTATAACCAGGCCCATCAGAAGAAGGGGTTCACCTTTTGACAGTGTTTTAGAATTGGCATACACATTTTGGATGCCTCCTGACTATGGTGGTAATCTCCCTTTGCGTTCTGCGATGCCTAGTGGTCGTGGAAGATGTAAGTGAATGTAAAGAGGAATATATGGAGGAAACTGAACAATTAGGTTTATGATGGGTGATCACTGTAGCATTACAATGTCGCCTAAAAGTGTAGTTCGCAATACTAATTTGAAGGGTTTCTTGTAGAGAGAAATGCAGATTTTGGCGTACATTTGATTCAAGTGAGGGTAATTCTTTGTGCCTTCACCAAGCTGAGAGTGCGTGTTCCATTTGATTCATATGTGATTATACTGAGGTTTGATGCTTTATTTTAAAAATTAGTATTATGGCACTGAAATTAAGGCTTTATTTCTCCTTTCCTAGGGTGTCTTTTATGAATAATCAAAAGCAGCAAAAGCCAACGCTATCAGGCCAGCGTTTTAAAACTAGAAAAAGAGGTAAATATTTATGTTTCGATGTCTCTTCAAACCTCCAGAATATCTTGTGTATCTTGCCTCCTCTGACAGGCACTTGCATAGTACTAAAGCCTCAAGAGAAGATACCAGAAAGAAACTTGAATTTCTCGTTGACTGCCATTCACATACACCTTTAGTATTTCTACTGCTTTACTGCTCAAGCCTTAATTTTTAGTATCAATGTATCTCTAAGCCGGTTAATGAATCTTCTTTTTAGTGTGAAGGTAAAATACTTTTTAAAACAAAAATAAGGGCTCTGTTTTCACTAGCAAGCAGTCTTATTTAAGCAAACTAAAATGAGCAAAGATGTTAATTTATAAAAGGAGAACTCCTAATGTAGTCACCCAGATTTTGTGAAGATTTGTGAGAGATAACTCAGACTTCACCCATGGAAGTTAATTGTGGAACAGGATTCACATTGTAATGTCTTTTGAAATACAGACTTAGAAAAGTATTAGAATTATATTACTATTTTTTTTGCATTCGTGTGTACTTAGGTGAATGTTGAATTCTGTAGCAAAGTGCTGTGCTAGTGATATAAAGCTAAATAAGATGTCTCATATATTTTTAATGTTTTTGGTCAAAAGCATATTAACCTTATTTTACAGGTGGTTTTGAGGAAATGAAGAACTGGGTCAGCTACTGGTTATAAGTTGTGTTAAGTAGCAGACATTTTGAGATATATATTGTAGAATTTTAAAATCGCTAATCATAGGCTTTCTGTCCCCTTGTAGTAGTGGTGGGGAGACCAAAATGTGATTTGATTCTAGTCTTTGCAGATTCATTTAGATTTAGCTGGTAAATTTTCTTTCTTTTTTGAGACAGAGTCTGCCTCTGTCGCCCAGGCTAGAGTGCTGGAGTGCAGTGGCGGGATCTCGGCTCACTGCAAGCTTCGCCTCCCTGGTTCACGCCACTCCTCCCTCAGCCTCGCGAATAGCTGGTACTGCAGGCGCCCGCCACTACATCCGGCTAGTTTTTTGTATTTTTTTTTTAGTAGAGACGGGGTTTCACTGTGTTAGCCAGGATGGTCTCGATTTCCTGACCTTATGATCCGCCCGCCTGGGTCTCCTAGAGTGCTGGGATTACAGGTGTGAGCCACCACGCCCGACCTTAGTTGGTAAATTTTCTTAAGGAGCAGTTGTAAACTAGAACAGTTTGACAGTAAAATGGGAAAGTGTATCTCTTGAATATGTGGATTACTGATGTTGCCTTGATATAAATAATAGCAAGTAGCTTTATCATTATTATTATTATTATTATTATTATTATTAGCATTAGGGGGAGATATCGCTTCCCCAGTTCCAGATAGAGATCATTCGTGGCCTGGCTGTTGATGGTTAGGGTACTGGGTAGGGTATACAGCAATCCCTGTCTGGGACTGAGGGAGTTTCCAGACACAAGACTTTCAGTGCTAAAACCAGGAAAGTGCTGGACACACAGAGGTATTTGTCACCCTAGTACTGTGTGAAAATTAAGATACCATCTAGCCTAGATTGGGAAAGCAAAACCCTATTATGGAGTGTGTGAAAGCAACTCAGTAAAGGTCAGGTATGTGCACAAGGCTATGGTCTGGGAGCTTTCTGTTTTATTAATGTCATGTAGTATTCACAACAGCTTTATGGGATAGCTGTTCTTATCCCCATTTTACAGTAGGGGGATTCTGGCATGGCGAATGAGACTGTTTGCTGGAATTCAAGTGGTTAAATGGTGATCAGGATTTGAATCAGGCAGTTTTAACTCCAGAGCCCATGCTCTGAACTACTACACAACACAGTATCATCTCTCGATTACCTAATTTCTCTCTCAGTTTTCCTTCTGAATAATAGGAAAAATCTGCCTCACAAAGTTGTTAACAGGATTAAAGCAAATGCTTAATATAGTTTCTGTCATATTGGGTCATTAAATGTACCTTTGTAAAGCTCACCTTCATAAATGCCAAAGGAGTGGTTCAATTTTTTTGTTGTTTAATGTTATGAACATTTAAAGAAAAGGATCAAGAGCTCCAGTGTCCAGGGAAAACTAAAAGTAATAAAATTTATCTGTTAGAGGATGGCCTAAATTTTGGAAAAGCCAAGAGGCAGTAGGAGGGCATTCCCAGTAGAAATTGCCTCATGGCAGTAGGAGCACAAGACACCAGCACATTTAGCTCACTTGTGAAATTGTTTGAAAAGTTGCACAGTTCTTGTGAGTGGGCCATCTTGTCTTACACTTGCAGAGGGGAAACATGTAAAGGATGTGAATTTAACTTGTTTAACAATTACATCTTCATAAGGTGATAGTTTTGTGACATTTTGGTAAATCTTTTAAAACTAAATGTTTTGGGTCCCCTGTCTCCCCAGATGAAAAAGAGAGGTTTGACCCTACTCAGTTTCAAGACTGTATTATTCAAGGCTTAACTGAAACCGGTACTGATTTGGAAGCAGTAGCTAAGTTTCTTGATGCTTCTGGAGCAAAACTTGATTACCGTCGATATGCAGAAACACTCTTTGACATTCTGGTGGCTGGTGGAATGCTGGGTAAGTGTCTGGGGTTTGTGGGCTTAATAAT